CACATAAACCAGTTTCAAAATGGCTTAAACCAGTTTGAGATTTAAACCTGATTTGAATGTAGTATCAGACTTAACTGTTTTGGCCCAAACTGGTTTATGCAATGTCTGTCTCAGACCCCTTGCTGGTTTAAGATAAACCAGGCACCCTCAGCATCTCAGCATTCTCTCTTGGCTACGTGGGGCTCTCTGTTCCACAGCAGGGCTGGCCTCTCCCCTCTGCTCCCTGGCTGTAGCTCCAGAGACTGTGGGCTGCTCCTGCCATCCCTCCCACCACTCCCTGCTACGCAGGAATTCCCCTCTCTCCTCTGCCTTGCTTAGGAGGTGTTCGTGTATTAAGATGTCTGTATATTAGCTAGCAGACCACATGCTGGCTACAATCCCTGCTGAATCAACGGGCAGAATTAACAGGTAGCTGGTAATATCCCTCTGTTTCCTTAATGGGGTGATAAACACTCTTATCAATTCCCTGCTAGGCTAATCAGTGAGTCCTGCTGGGGCCTGGCCACACCCCCGTCAGCTCAGTTTTGTGAAAGGATGGGAGGGCTGCTCTAGTGCCCCCTGGCTTGTAGCCTAAGCCATTGCAGGCATGTGCCTGCATTTCTGGGATGTTGTACAGTTGCAAAACTGATTTAGCCTAGCCAGGTTAGACTAACCTACAAAGAGTGAATTAATTCAGGCTCAGGCTTTCTGAATGTTTGTCCCTAGCCTTAGACTCCAGTGAAGAACTGCAGCATCATTTGTTTGTTTGGTATGCATACACAAAATGTCACTGTACCAGCTTATTACTGGGGAGGGGAAGGTAGTGCAGATGAGGCTTGAAAGCCTGTGTTGACAGAAAGTGTGACATGAAAGTATTTGGAAAGCTATCTAATAGGCTACAGTAGCAGGCAAAGGTGGAAGAGACAGTAAAGAGGAGAGCTGTATGGCAACACCAAATGTAGTCCTTAAGCTAGGGAAGTGAACTGCAACTTTCTAGGCTCTGCATAAAATAGGAGCATGAACTGTGTGTGAAGTGAAATAAATACCACTGATTTTTCTTTCCAGCTAACTTAATTCAGTGCTCAAGGTAAGGGATGGGCAAATTTGAAGATGAGTAATTTATTTCTCCCCTTTCCTATTTAAATTGCCTTTTGTAAAAGAATGAGCCACAGCTCATTGCATCTATTCCACTTTGACAAATTTCAAATGTTTAACAAAGTTGAAAGTTGCATTTTGCATGTCAGGACAGATTACTCAAAGTATAAATAGAATCTATTGAAATATTGTTTTGTTATAGTTGTACAGAGATTTTTTTTCTCTCAAATTATGGCTTCAGTTTCAGAATTTCACTGTATTTTGGGATTCAGAGTGCACAGTTCTGTTTAGGATCTTTGTATACAAAAAAAGGCTAATCTCCACCCTTTCATGCCATTCAATGCCTTCTCTTTTTCCTTTTGGAAGAAATGGCATGTCAAATTTCATTGGAAACTTTGAATGGCAACATTGTGTTTTTACACAAATTTTCTTAAAGTGTTTTTTCTGTAGAAAGAATAGCTGGAATTAATCAGAGCACCAACTGGAAACTAAAAAAAATTCAATTAAATAAAATTAACCCTGAAATATTTTAGTTGTAAGAATGTTCATTCTAACTTTAATTATGGGAGGTGGGGTGTGGTAGCCTTTTGGCTTCCATTCTCCTACTTGAAACCAGAATGAGATCCATAGCCAGACTTCACTTCCCATCAAAGAACTGTACCAAGGATTCCCACTATGCACTGCCTCTTTACCAAAATGGGATACCTGTTGCGTTAGGCATAGTTGATACTGAGGTCACTAGTTAGTTTAAAAAAAAAAAAAAAAAGTGTTTGACGTGCAACTCCTACTGCCATGGCCTCTTAGAATCAAACGTTTTAATTTTTTTAATTAATACAACTTTCTATAGAAAATGTCAAAGAAAATTAATGGTCTGGGTTCGGTTGGGTTTGGTTTTATTGGGGGCAGGGAGGGGTGTACTTTCCAGTTTTTACTAGTGACAGAGGAAGAACACTAACTCTTCTCAGAGGGGTAGTGTTACAGGTTATCTTTAAACCATTCTAAAGGGAGGAACATCCATGTGTTACAATGTGTTAAATAGTGCTGACTGCCCTCTAAGCATCTTAAAGTTATGCTGCTTTTGATGAGCATTTGCTTTGGTTACTTCATCTTCGTGGAGTGGACTAACAATACCCTACCTTAAACAACTCAATCTGCAGTCATCCAGTATCCCAGGATGTATGTCCCCTAGCCGTGCTATCCCTGAAAAACTTTCCACCCTTCCATATTCTACTGCCCAGGGGTGGTACTAGCCACAAGCTAACATCCCCACCTGCCCAGAATGAGCATGACTGCCAGTCCATATGGTACCACACAACTGATTTCCAAGGACCCCAGGAATCCTGGGCTGAGGGTCTGGCATACAACCCTGCCTCCAAAGAGGTAAGCCAGGGGTGGGCAAAATATGGCCTGTGGGGTTGGATCCGGCCCACCAGGCCCTTCTCTCGGGCCCACAGGGCCCCTAAACATTTTTATAAGTTATTTATCTGCTCCTGGCTGCCTGTCAAAGATGACAGGAGCCTGGAACAGTAGGGCCCAGGGGGA